CGCCGCTCCCCTGCGCCTTACCCCCGCTGCTGCTCGCTCTCCTCCCGGCCTCCTCCCCAGGCATTTCCTCCCGCGAACAGTAGTTTTCTGGTCGGGAAGAGGGCGCAGAGATCGCCCCGGGAGGCGGGAGAGGGGGAGAGAACCAAAAAAAAAAAAAAAAAAAAAAAAAAAAAGAAGGGGGAAAAAAAAAAAGGAAAGGAGGTGGCGGGGAGGGAGCTGGGTAAATTAGCAAAGAATTACAGCCATTGTAAACTAACCGCAGGTATTTCCAAGAGCTTGGACGCGAAACCTTGTAAATCAGGGACTTCGCGGGCTGGAGCCCGGCTGCGCCGGAGCTCGGCGGGAGGCTGCACGGGGGGAGCGCCTCTCTCTCCCCCTCGCCGCTCCCCCGGCCCCAAAGCAGCCGCCGGCTCGGCCGTCTGCCGCACCTGAGCAGAGCCCGAAAGAAGGGCACGCCGGAGAGCTGCCCCGGCCAGTCCTGCCCGCAGCTCCCCGTCTCCGCCGTGCCCAGAGCCCCTCTCCGGCCGTCAACCCAAACCCACGGCTCCCGCCACCCGCACCCCCAGCCTTTCCCCGTAGAGAAAGAAGAGCGGAGCCCTCCCTCTCTCCCCACTTCCCCGTCCACGCATCTCCTCTGACACCCCAAATTTCATCTCTCGGCTGTTTAGCACCCCTTAAAATGCCCGCACAGGGCAGCCTTCCTACACCTCCTACACACCTCCTCGTAAGTGGATTTCTCGCAGCTTCCCCAGATGCCTCTTATGTCCCTCCAGCTCTTAAAAAAAAAATAAATAAAAATCCCCCTTTGGCTATTTCCTGAGTGTATCGTGGCACCGGAGACTTGGGCGGCAGAAGCGATGGCTTTCCCGGGAAATACCTGGCTGGGAAAAAGGGATGGTGAGTGAGTCCAAGCAAAGTTATTAGAACATGCTGAATTTGTTCACAGGGATAAAGCCTGTTCTCGTCCCGTCACGCAAAGGTGCTCTCCGGCGTCGTGCTGCGTATGAAAGCGGGATTATTTATTTTATTAATTTATTTTCCGGGTAAGAATGGTCATTGAAACCATTTAATTCCTGCCAGAATCGTTGATAATCAATTACGGTGGCTTCGTGGTCTGCTGCAAACAGACGCTCGTCTCTGCGGGATCACGGAGGGCAATGCTGGAGGTCGGACGCCGCCCGCGAAGCAGCAGGTTGACACCCCGGGAATTCGGCTCACGAAGCAAAGCCGAGGCTGCGGGTATCATTTCGATATGCTCTAGCTCGTTACGTTGCTGGGTCTCCCCAGCACGAAAAGGACGCGGCGGTGAAGCGCTGGCGTTCCATTTCTCGTGTACCTGCTCGGTACCCTCGCCGGGATTTTTCTGTTGGCTCTGAGAATGCCGATAATGCCTGAAATAAGGAAAAGCACGGTGCTTGGGGGCACACTGTTGTTTTGGCAACGAGTCGCATTTACACCATTCACGTGGGTGTAACAGTTTCCAAACCCTTCTTGTTTAGGGCCATTTTCTTCCAGGGAAAGCATCGTTTCGAGGACAGCAGTCTTCAATCGCCCGCCTCAAACGCTCTTTCAAAGCCCCGGGGACCAAAGACCGTCCCTACCATAAAACCGACCGCGTTTTTAAACAGATGGAACGGCCAAAACCCCCATTTTCGAAGACCGGTCGAGGCAGGTTTGCACCTACACCCCCAAGGCGAGCGCCCGGAGCTTGGGGCGCTCGCCCCGCGCCGCGCACGGCCCCGACCCCGGCGCGCCGTCGCCT